TAGCATAATCTGACTTGTGTTTGAAGCTGACCAGTGTAGTTACTCTATTGAGAACAGGGGCATGGAGAGCAAGGATAGAAGCTGGGCGAACATGAAGGAAGTTGTTATGGTATTAGGTGATGTGTGGGTTGGGCTGGCATGGTGGCCGAGAAGGAGATGAGAAGCCGGACGCTGGGCGTATTTTGCAAGTTGCACCCAACATGATGTACTCAGGGATTCGATGTGGCCTCCGAGAAAAGGAGATGAAGCAGGGATAACTCCACAGTGTTTGGCTTTAGCAACATAAATGATGGAGTTGCTGAGAGGGCAGGACTTAAAGAGGACCAGTTTGAGGTTGGAAGTTAGATGTTCCATTTTAGACAGGATGACTTTGAGACCCCCTTAGGCATCCAAGCAGAGATGTGGAGTGGACCACTGGAAGCCGGAGCCTGGGGCTCAAGGGAGTCAGCCGGCTGCGTGCGTGCATTTGAGAGTTCTCTGCAGGTGAGTCGTGTTTAAGTTGTGAGCGTGGAGAAGACCACCTAAGGAATACATACAGAAGAAAAGGGAATCTGGGCACCGAGCTTTGAAGCCCCCAACACAGACAGCAGGGGGGCAAAAGATGGAGCAGCAAGAGAGAGGAAAGTCGTCAGCAAAGGAAGAGGAGAGAAGCAGAAGGGAGCAGCATCCCCAGGGTAAGTGAAGAAAATGGTTCAAAGAGGAGGATATGCTGCACAGGTCCAGTGAGACGAAGGCTGAGAATTGTCCCCTGGCTTAGCCGGAGCGGTGGAGGTCACTGATGACCAGACGGAAACTATGGAGTGGAATAGGGGAGTGGCTGGGGAAGCCTGACCAAAGGAAGTGGTTTTTTTTTTTTTTTTTTTCAAAGACTTTATTTACTTATTTGACAGACAGAGATCACAGGTAGGCAGAGCAGCAGGCAGAGAGAGAGCGGGAAGCAGGCTCCCCGCTGAGCAGAGAGCCCGATGTGACTCGGGGCTCGATCCCAGGACCCTGGGGATCACCACCTGAGCCAAAGGCAGAGGCTTTAACCCACTGAACCACCCAGGCGCTCCACCAAAGGAAGTTTGAGAGAGAACTAGAAGAGAGGAATCGGAGATAGGGAGTGAATTCAAACAACTTTTTGGAGGAATTTTGCGGCAGAGGGGAGTAGGAAGCATGGGATGGTAGCTAGAGAGACAGATGAGACCAAGAAAGTATTTTCTTTCTTTTTTTCAAGATGGGAGAAATTACAGTGGTTCGTATCCTGGTGGAAAGAACACATTGGAGAGGGACAAACTGGTGATGTGGGAGAGCTAACGGGGATGTTGGTGCTCTGGACATGGAGGGATGCGAGGACGTGGGGTGTGTTGCACGGAGAGAGGCTGCTCTTAGATAAGGTCTCCAGCCATAGATGGAAGAAACAAAATGAGGAGCGGCGCACAAGGACACAGGTGTTGGTCATTCGGCAGAAGCAGTGGCAGGAGTGTTTCAACGTGTGCATTCTCTACTGATTGTTTCTTTTGGCCTCTGGGAAGCCGGAAGCAAGGTCATCACCTGAAAGGCAGAATGGAGGAGGGGGTACTGGGTTTTGGAGAAGGGAGGGACCCATGGGGTCTAGTGGAAGTGTCAGCCAGGCCCTTCTGTACCCTGAGTCCTGTGGCCATGAATTTAAATGATCGGCAGGGCTGTGAGCTGATCTCCACTGTGGGTGTTGGGTGGAGGTGTGGGTTTAAATAACTCAGAAGCTGGACCAATAACCTGACAGAGAGAAAGGGAGGAGTGGGATGAAGGTCAGATGTGAATGGGCTGGCGGGGGGCTGGAAAGGACTTGGGGAAGCGTTTATGATTCTGAGAGAGGAAGGAAGGAAGGAGGCGTGTATTAGTTATCTTCTGCTGTGTGACAAATCACAAATGTGGTGGCTTAAAACAACACGCATTTATTACCCACTGTTTCCTTGGGTCAGGAATCTGGGCATGGTCCTCTATTTCGGGGTCTCTCTCAAGACTGCAGTGGGGTGTCAGGCAGGGCTGGGGTCTCACTGAGGCTTGAACGGGGAAGGTACACTTCCCAGCTCCCATGCCTGTTGGCAAGATCTGGTTCTTTGTGGGCTATGAGAGCAAGGGCCTCCCTTTCCTGCTGGCTGTCAGCGGGAGGATTCCCTCCGCTCCTGGCCATGTGGGCCTCTCCATATTGTGGATTCTTTCCTGCAAAGGAGAGTGTCAATAAAGAGAATCTGCAAGCAAGAAGGAAGTTACAGGGTTAAATAATGTGACCACAGAAATGCCATCACCTTTGCCATATTCTGTTGGTCAGAAACAAGTCACAGATCCCATCCTCACTCAAAGGGAAGGCAGTTTCACGAGGGTCTGAATACCAGGGGGAAGGGATTATTGGGAGCCATTCCAGAGTCTATCTGCGATAAGGAGAAATGGATGAAGTGTAATTTTGAATACAAAGAAGGGAAACTGAGGAAGCTAAAACAAAAGAGAGGGCCCCCCTCCTAGTGAAAAAAAGAGCTGATGTCACCCCTTGAGAGAAAAAAAGGTCAAAAATGGGGGAAAAAGGAGGGGGATGTATGTGACAAGCAAGCAAAGGGAGTCTGTAGGTTGAGTAGATGAATCCCGAACAGAGCCGCGGGGCCAGCCGGATTAGAAAGTGTTGATTTGCTGTGATGCCCATTGGCTGTTAAGTGATTTGCTCTAGCGATAGATGGTGCCCTGTTTTCAGCCTGAAAACTAATGGATGGAGGGATTGGCCCAGGGCTGGGTGTGTCAGAAAGTCAGGGTCAAGAGTCTCTTTGGTACTGGTGAGGAAAAAGCTCAAGTAACTCAGAGTCATTTTTCTATTTCCGACTTCCACATTTCTACTTCACCAACTGTTCCAAAGTAAGTCTGGAGGTGCCCAGTCTGGCCTGGCTCTGTGAAGGCCAGCAGTCCGCCATGATGCACGGTCAGGTTGCCACAGGGTTTCCCAGCAGCCTCACTGGGGTCACTGCAATGTGGAAGGTTCTCTGTGGAGCCAGGATCTCCCTTGGAGGCCCTGAAGTCCCTACCCTACCTCCAAGAACCTCCCGCTGCTTCATCAGGTGCACCAAGGTCTCCATCAGCCCTTCCTCAGGGGCCAAGACCTCTCCCACCTGCACCCTCCGCTTCCTCATCCTCTACCTCATCCTCTACCTCAGCCAGCCTCTACCTCTACCTTTTGGGGCTAACCACCAAAACCTCCTTTTGGTGGTTAGCCCCATTCCGGGCAGTGTAAAGTGAGTTCTTGCCTGTCAACGCCCTGACCCTGAATTCACGACTATCCAAGAGGTTAAAACGCTGAAGTAAGGGGCTCCTGGGTGGCTCAGTGGGTTAAGCCGCTGCCTTCGGCTCAGGTCATGATCTCAGGGTCCTGGGATCAAGTCCTGCGTCGGGCTCGCTGCTCAGCGGGGAGCCTGCTTCCCTCTCTCTCTCTCTCTCTCTCTCTCTCTCTCTGCCTGCCTCTCCATCTACTTGTGATCTCTCTCTGTCAAATAAATAAAATCTTTAAAAAAAAAAAAAACAAAACAACCACGCTGAAGTAAGGAGAAGATACTCTGATTAGTTTGGTAAGAAATTTCATTCTCCATTCCCTGAGTTGACTTTGAGCAAGGATGGTAGCAGAAAGAATAATTCTGTGTGGGAAGGCTCCAGGAGGAGAACATAAGCCCTTGGCTCCATGTAACTGATGATTGAGAAGTGTTTTATTTAAGGCTTGGACTCAACGTAAAAGTTTTCTTGCTTTAGAAAAGTCTTAGAGAAAAGATAACCACTTCCCACATGAAAAGAGCTATGTTGGGTCTCATTCATCCTGGTACCCCCAACACCCAGCCCAGCGCAAGCCCTAAATACTCCTTCAAGAAGCATCTGTTGAGCTGAAATGAGTGCTCTATGTGTGAGACAGTAGCAAATCTGAGTTATTCCTGAATGATGTCAAATAAGTGAAAACGAAAAGAAATTCTGGGGCTTCTTATATTTAATATTAGTGCTTGGTGAGTTGCTGCTATCTGGTTTCCTTTACTGTCTTCCGGCTTTAAAAAGACACTGCATTTAGTTATTTATATATTTATCATCTATTTGTTTATTTATTTATAAATTTATTTTGAAGTGGGCTACATGCCCAGCAGGGAGCCCAATGCGGGGCTTGAACTCAAGATACTGACATCAAGACCTGCGCTGAAATCTAGAGTCAGATACCTAACCAACTGAGCCACGCAGGTGCCCCCCAAAGACCTGGCTTTTTAAAGACACAGAGTCAGGCTCTATTTTTAAGAGAAAACCCTGGAATGAAATTTTTTAAAGGCATGCAGATACAGAGAAGAAAATCATAAGGACCTACTTCCTTGCCGGGCAAAATTAAGTACTATTAACTTTTGGGCATATTTGCTTCCAGCCTTTACATCCAGTACTCTGTTTTTAAAACCAATGCTAGTGCACTGATACGCTGAAAAATATGAAGTGTGTCAGTTGTGTGCCCACGTGTGTGCACACGCACGTGCACAGTGTGAACTCACAAATTTGTTCTCGCACATTTGTGGTGTTTTGCTTGCTCCTTCCCAGAGTTTCTGAGCTGGAAAGGGCTCTGCCACCAACTACTGTGGCAATCATGGAACGATGAAGCCATGATTTAACACACCACTGTAGTGCGCACTGTCCAAACAACACATTTTTAAAGCATGAAAACTCTAAGTAATCCGTACACGCTGGAAAAAATTTTAATGTGACCCTTTTGGCCTTTAGTCTTTCAGTTTTTCTTTTCAGAGGCAACCGGGATTACCAGTTCCTTGTGAATGTCTCCAGAGAGGTAATTTGCATCTACAAACATATATTTCCTAGTTCCCTACACAGCTGGTAGCGTCCCATGTATAGTGTTTCATGCAGAAGTATAGTATTTTGAAATTTGGGGAAGTATTTCTTAACAGTAAGGCGTTTTATCTTTCATTTTTTCTTTCTTTAAAGATTTTATTTACTTTAGAAAGTGAGAGCACGTGCGCATGAGCGGGGGAGGGGCAGAGGGAGAGGATCGCAAGCAGATTCCCTGCGGTGTGGGGAGCCCTACATGGAGCTGGTTCCCAGCAGCCCAAGATCATGACGGGAACCAAAACCAAGAGAGGGACGTTCCACCGAGTGAGCCATCCAGATGCCCTAACAGTAAGAGGTTTTTGTTTTTGTTTTTGTTTTTTTAATTCAGTTTATTGAGGTGTTTAAAAAAATTCACTTTATTGTATTGACATACAAAAAGTAAGTTTTGGGGCTGTGTAAATTTTTCATCCTGGCCTTCCTGCGTCCTTAGTCTTACCTCGGGGGTTCAGAGAAGGTCCTCCACGGGCTGGACAGGCCCCCCAAAACCACAGATTCCCATGTCAGCCCTAGACAGTTTGCTCTTACTCTCTCTGGTTGAACTTACTTACAGGCCCATAAGGAAACCCTTTGTACTTCTGGTAACTAAACCTAAATCCTGTGGAACACAACAAAGCCGAACAGAGGGAAATTTGGGGCTCAGCTTAAAATACAGCTGGCCAAGCCCACACTCAGTTGCTGGAATAACAACCAGCTGGGAGGCCTAAATTTAGCTTGGAGCCTTAAATATGGTCAGCTCTAGAGTGTCCACGGCCCCTCTGCAGACGACTCGTCCCCCTCTCTAGGGCCGGTCTTCAGAAAGGAACAACGTTCGTCCAAAGCGCTGACTTTGTGAAACTGGCCTAGTCGATCTGGTGTGATTTAATAGGCTGTAAAATATTTGATTTACAGCCGATCAATAGGCAAACAGTATGATTTGTTGTTGGGGGAATACAGAGCACAGGGACCAGGAAGATGCCAAACAGTAGGAAAGGTTAATTAACATCGTAGAGTTCATTTTAAAGTCTGATTTTAAAAAAGAAGACCAGACTGGAACAGGAAGCGGGTCCCCTGGCCTGGAGGGAACCAGAAGGTGAGCAGAATGGGCTCCTCCACGTGGTCCTCCTGGGAGGCCCCCCACTCACGCTCTGTCCCAAAGGACGGGGAGCCCCCAAACAGGGCCTCAAGTCTTGATGTTACAATTTGGTTAGCCTCAGTTTCACCCTTTTTCCATGCTAGAGGGTTGGAGACGAGCCCTGAGCCTCCAAACCTCAAGGTTTGGGATTCTTGGTGCTTTTGCCTCCTACGACTAACTGCCTCCCCACCTCAAGTTGCTCTATACCTTCTACCCTCGCCCACTGGAATCCCAAGTGTAGGTAAGCACAGAGGCCTCAGTGCCTCGAGTTGAGACCTTGTTTTGCAAATCTAACTTGGTAAGGGGGGAACACAGGGACCCTGAGAGAGCCGGGCATCCACCCCAATCCTGCAGATGGCACCAAAGAAGGCCTGACAACCCACAGCGCACCCCAGATTTCGGCTGGGCCTCCTTTAGGAGAGGAATGTGACACAGTTTATGGAAGATAAACAGTATGAGGTTGCCAAGTATGGCCTGAGTGGTACCCAGGGAACAATTGCAAGGGAACTTGTGATTTACTTCCTACACTCACACGTGCAGAGAAAACGTCTGTCTTGGTCCTCCCGAGGCCCCTAACCACAGGATGGTGGTAAAGAGAAGGCAGATGGAGCCTGACTGGCTGAAGACTGAGATGCAGTGATTTAAATACTGTCTTTAGGTTACTTCACCTCCATGGTTCAGCGGCTCAATTTTCTAGGCTTCTCTGCTGCTGCCACCCCCTTCTGCTTCTCTCTTAGAGGGTGTCTAGTGGAGGGAGTGGCAGAAAAGGCTTTACAGGCTGTTGTGGCCATTATGGGGTGGAGAGGGTGCCCTGGTCTCATGCCGTTCTGCGTGTGTAAACATTCTCCATGGCCCCCAAGCTGTGGTTGGGTTGGGTTGGCGTCCTCTTGGTCTCAGTGGCCTGTGAACTCCTGGTGCATTCTCTCTCAGCCTATTTGGGGGCCCACTTTCCCTCCCCATGGATCTGGGCTCCCCTCGCCTCTTTTTGTCATCACAGACCACCTCTGAGACCCTGTCAGCACCTCCCTCTGGACCCCGGCCAGGCTGCCCCCCAGGGCCTTGGCGGGAGAGTGACTTTGCCTCCAGCCCTCTCAGGGCCCTGATGCAAATGACTCTTCTCCATCTGTGAGCTAAACATCTTGGGGGTGGGGGGTGCAGGGGGTGGGTGTCCTCCCAGAGGTGGCGATGCTGCCTCAGCAGGCCCTGGGGGAACAGCAGAAATCCTGGGGGTGAGCACTGTGGCCAGGAGCGTGAGTTCCACAGTCTCACGGGCCCGGCTTCCTCTCCACTGCACTTGGCACTGGTGAGCTTCAGACCAGGGCCTTGACCACTGGCTAACGGGAACAGTACATGAGGTCATGGTCAAGGAGACTTGTGTTCAAGCAAGCAGCTCCCCTGCTGGGTGAGTGAGGCAGGACAGCTGGAGTGGAGAGGAAAGAGGTATCCATTGCTAGTGAAGCCAGGGGAGGCCATGGGCTCCCTAAGAGTTCTCATCCCAGCCCTGCCTGTCCCCACGCAGCACCCTGAACTGCCATGTGCCTGACTTCTGCTTTTTCTGTTACCTGTTTATTAAGGACTCAGTGACTGAAATGCCACTCGCGGATTGGCCAATAAGCCATTTTTTTTAAATAGCAAATTTTATGCTACCTCAATTGCCAAATCTCCTGGGGACAAAGTCAATTTATACAGCGACTGGTCGACATTGCAATAAAAAGGGGTCACTTCCTCTCAAGGGCCCAGAGGCAACTTGCAGAGATGCGGCTGACCTCACCAAGAAGCTTCGAGACGCCCACAGGCACGGGACTGGTTAGGGCGCTTCTCTCGGGAAAATCATCAAGAAAATTGAAGTCAGCTTGTGCCCCAAGGACACTTGCTCCTTCTGATTTTGATTTTGGCAAAATCAAAAATGAAGAGACGAGGTTCCTGCATGAAACAGCGGCCAGGGGTGCCCCGACCTACGTCCCCAATTCTGCCAACCCAGTGAAGCCTGCCATCAGGGGACTGATGAATGAATGGGAACCAGACCACTCCCCCATTGGGGACATGGCTAGCTATCACAAATGGGTGAATTTATGGAACCAAGGAAAGGAAGGTCATGTGACCCAGCATTGCCTTTCTTGGGCCAACCCCAGGCACAGCGTGTTCTGTGTTGGGTCCACAGGGTGACTCCCCAGAGTCTGGATGCCTTCCAGGTCGCTCTTTGGAAGCAGACTCTTCCCTTTCCAAATGCTCCCTCCTCTCTGTAGGTAGCCCACACCCAGGTGAGTCTCCAGTCCCCTGCTGCCACCTTTGGCTAGAGGGGAGGATAAGGTACCCACTTACTCATCAGAAGTGTTAGCCCTGGGCCACCTGGGTGGCTCAGTTGGTTAAGCATCAGCCTTCTGCTCAAGTGATGATCCCGGGGTCCTGGGGTCGAGCCCCACATTGGGCTCCTAGCTCAGCGGGAAGCCTGCCTTTCCCTCTGCCTCTGTCCCTTCCCCTGTTCATGCTCTCTCTCTCATTCTTTCTCTCTCTCTCTCTCAAGCAAATAAATAAAATTTTAAAAAACAAAAAAAGAAGTGTTAACCCTGTAGGATTTGCATTTTCAGCCATCTAGCAATTGAAATGAAAGGATTTTTGTCTCCTGAATGGGGTTTTAGGTCTTGGTAGGGGTGGAGATGTTCCATTTTATGGGCAATGGCCCTGGGTCAGTAAGTGCTCCTGAAATTGCCCCAGGCCTGGGTGGTGATTGGTTGACCCTTTGGGAACCCTGGCATAGGGAGCCAGAGCCTAATGGTCCTCTGCTTCCTCCAACCAGGGTGGCCCAGGCAGTGTCAGGCTTCGTCCCAAAGGAGCAGATGAGAGGAGAATGCTCACAGTCACTTCTTGACCTAAAGGCAAACCCACCTCTTTCCTGTGTCCTTGCACCTCTTTCCTGGGTCCCTGCCTTGCCCATCTTTGATTCCAAGGCTTCGAGATACATACATTATCATACAAGTGACAGCATTTTAGATCACATTTAATGATTTCTTTGTACCAAACCTCCTAGCCTTATTTCCTTTACCTTCCCTCTCTTCTACCTCTATGTTAATGTTCCCTCTACTAATAAAATGCCTGCAAGGGGAATATCCCTGAAATTATCCTTTTTGTTAGTAGAGTTATTATTTTATAGAAAAGCCATGGAGGCATTCAGGGGGACCTACAATGCCTCATCAATCATATAACTAGAGCAGAAGGGCTGACTAGAGAATGAGAACCCATAAGAGAAATTAGAAACATACTGTCCGCTCAACTTTAGGGGCTGGAGAAAGGAAGGTGGCAATTTAATTTAAGAGCTATTCCTGACAGGGAATTCAGTCATGTCAGGAAAGCTGCAAGTCAGAGGAAGAATTCTGTAAAATCAAAGGAGGCTTGTTGGGTAGCAATGCTGAAAATGTCAGCCCTCTTCTTGGAGGTGAACTGACGCAGTCCAGATGAAGGCGGGCGGGTTAAAATGTCACGCTGCTTCGCTAAGGGGACCTGCCCTCCCAAACATGCTATTTGACTTCTGGCTCCTTCTGTCCATGATTCAGGTTATTTATATATCTTGTACAATGAAAGCAAGGCCATGACGGCTCAAGAATAAATTGGTTCATTATCGGTTTGTAGAAGTGTCCATTGGGACTTACACTTTCCATTCCACTTCTTTTCTCCCCCACCCTTTTTTTAATAGTTTTATGGTTTTGACATAAGCTACTACAAAACCTAATCTGGAAGTATGTGGTGCAAATAAAATTAAATAAAAATTTCTTTGCTGTCAAACACGCAGTTCTCCCATTGCAAATTCTTTTGTGTCCATTCCCCCAGCACTTACTGCAAAATTGAGAGTAAAGGCCTCCACCGTACATTCAGGAATCACTATGGCAGGCCTCAGTGGGCATCATTGCTTCGTCCTCCCTGTTCCCCAAGTAGAAATATCGAATCTTCTTCCATGAAGCCAGTGCTCGTGCCAGCTCCCAAACCAGAACCTCTCTTCCAAGTTCACAAATGCTTGTCCTTCTTCTTCGTATGCTCATTCTGATTTTATCTTGTAATATATGTATTTACTTATTTTTATGTCTCTCTCTCCATCTCTACCATCTTGCAATCCCTACGTTGTAGGCTCTTGGAGGGCAAGAACTGAAGTAACGTATCTGCAATTCCTTGGAAGCAGAGAATAATATCGTGAACATAGCTCACTCTTGATAAGTGTATGTTGACTGACTGTGTGTCAAATTTTTTATAAGGACATTATCAAGAAAGTGACACCTCAACCATTCATGGAAATGGTCTGTGCTTACTGTGTAAGGCATAGGGGATAGGAATTCCACAAACCTACCAGAGAAGCCCACTTTTTAATCACCTTTCAAGAAAGCTTTTATTATTTTGGCAACTGGAGTACAGTGTTTCTGCAGTTTTTCTTATTTTCTGTAATTTTAACTTTCATAAAGTTAGAGAGAAGCTAGTTGACCCTTTATAAACTTGGAGCATGATATTAAATCAGAATTTTCCAAAAGCTAGTAGAGCAATTTGGTCTGAATAGGAAGGAATCAAAAAACCCAAAGGTGACTGGGCTTTGAGATGGGCGGGAGGCCACAGGGCACATTGAAAAATTGTTTTCTTATTTAAAAGCAAGGCTTACTCCGTAACTCATTTGACGAAGCATACCAAAATCTCCAGTTCTTTGTGCCAAATAGCAATGCATACTCGGGCTATTAAAAGACAATCTAAAGAGCCCTTATTTATTTCCCCTACCTTACTTCCCAAAGGATCAGAGTTGGCTTTATATAAATATACACAATATAGCAAACAAAAATGAACAAACAGAGATAGGTCAAAAGAAAAATAAAGAAAGAATAGTAAAATAAAGATGAGAATAAAGTTAGCATGCTGACACATATGTTAAAAATTCTTGAACTTCTCAGGGTGCCTGGATGGCTCAGTTGATTAAACATCACACTCTGGATCTCCACTCAAGTCTTGATTTCAGGGTTGTGAGTTCAAGCCCTGTGTAGGGCTCCACACTTGATGTGGAGCCTGCTTACAAAGGGGGCACCTGGGGTTCTCAGTTGGTTAAGCAACCCATTCTTGGTTTTGGTTCAGGTCATGATCTCAGGGTCATGGGGTTGTGCTCCATGTTGGCCTTGGTGTGAATCTGCCTGTCCTTCTCCTTCTTCCCCTCCTTCTGCTCTCTCTTTCTCTTAAATAAATAAAATCTTCAAAAAAGAAATTCTTGAACTTCCCAGTTTGGATCTGAGTTTCCTGGGGACCAAAGCAAGGAAGGGAACACAACTGGTGACAGGATTTCACAGTGTTTAAAAATCAAACCTAGTTCTTCATGTTCGCATGCTGGACACTGCACCCCACTTCTCAGTGGTTTTCTGCATTTAGGACTGGTTAATCTGGTGCCTGCCATGGTGAATAAATGTGTCTGGAACTGTAGGATAGAGGGGAGCCCTCAGTATCGCCTGTGGTGCCGCTCTCGCAAGCATAACGCCCATTGTTGTCATGAGTCGACCCAATGAGGCCCGTTTTGTGAGAAAGGTCAGAAGGAGAAGTTACTCCTTCTCCGTGGCAGTGTCACAGGGAGGACTGTCAGCCATGGTCCTAGCAGTGAGGGTTACCCCCCAGAGAGACCCTAGAAAAGTCAAAAGGGGCAAAAGAGTCTTTAACATATTCTTGACAGTTGACAACTCTCCTCTTTCTGTCTTCCAGAAACGATGAGATTCTAGGGCGCTGAAAACCCCAGTCTGCTTCTCTCAAGTTCCTCCACCAGGTGCCCCCTTCTCCAGAGGAGGAAAAATTTGACACATTCTCCCTCAGAGAGCTGTGAGGAGGAAAGCCATGTACGCAAAATAATGAATATAATGATGTGCTGGACTGACAGCCAAGCCTCCCAGGAATAGATTTTATTTTTTAAGAGTGGTTTTGAACCCACTTAAAACTCTCATTACCTCACTCGAGGGTTGGCTGATGAATAGATGGTGAGTTTGTAGAGCAAAGTTAGAGATTTTACAACAATGACACCTTCTCTGTATCTCTTGCACATTTTAGTGACCGCTTTGTCATCCATCAAAGACAAAGGATGCCGCAACTTGACCTCCAGCTTCTAAAACTTCACGACTGTGGACCTAGTGGTACATGAGATGTACTGGAGTCACTTAAGTCGGTTACCTCACTCAGATCTGATGTTAGTTTATAAAGAGGAATAACCATAGAAGTCATTTTAGGAAATTTGGACATGAAAGTAATAGGAATACTTTCTCTTCCCTCTTCCTGTCACTCATCCTCCCTCCCTCATCCCTTTGTCAGAGGCAAACCTGATTAACGACTGGTTTGATGCTTGAAATTGGATGTCCTTTTCTTTCCACCATTCCCAATGCTGCTTTGCTTCTGGACAGTCTACAGTGTCTGCTCGTGTATCACTCCACTGTCCTATTTCCACAGAAATCATTCCATTTGCTACTGTCTCATAATTAAGGTCAAGTCCCAACGTCAGTTTACTCAAGCCAAGGGCTTAGATGTGGGGTGCTCACTGCTCACCACTCAAGGGGGCCCATACCCCTTTCCTCAGTCTCCTTTGTCCTATGTCACCTGCAATGGAATTGTCAGCAGCAGTTATCAAGGGACAGCATCTTGGGATACATATATCCCGTGTGATTTTTTTTTTTTTTTTTTTGGTTTAAAGGCCCCAGTTTTGTTTTAGTTTGTCCTATAGATAGCTGGGTTCCAGATATGAGCATCTGGCTAACTTCAGACTTCTCGATACACAATTCCCAGTATTTTGAACATATTTTATTTATGTATTATTTTTAAATTCCAGTATAATCAAGGTGCAATGTTATATTTCTTTTAGGTTTCGCTATAGTGATTTGAAAATTCTATACATGACTCAGAGCTCATCACAGTAAGTTTACTCTTAATCCTCTTCACCTATTTCACCCATTTCCCCCCGCCCCCAGTTGCCCCCTAGTAACCACCAGTTTGTTCTCTATGTTTAAGTGTCTGGTTTTTTGTTTGTCTCTTTTTTTTTTGTTTGTTTGTTTTATTTCTTAAATTCCACAAAGAAGTGAAATCATATGATATTTGTCTTTCTCTGACTTATTCCACTTAGCACTAAACCCTCTATGTCCATCCATGTTGTTGCAAATAACAAGATGTCATTCTTTTATATGGTGAGTAATATTCCATTGTAACTACATATGGTGTATGTACAAACCATATCTTCTTTATCCATTCATCTGTTGATAGACACTTGGGGGATTTCCATAATTTGGCTATCGTAAATAATGCTACTATAAACATAGGAGTGCATGTATCCTTTCAAATTAGGATTTTCATATTCTTTGGGTTAAATAACCAATAGTGGAATTACTAGATCATATGATAATTCTATTTTTAATTATTTGAAGAACCTCCATACTGTCTTCCACAGTAGCTGTACCATTTTGTATTCCCACCAGCAGTGCACAAGTGTTCCTTTTCCTCCACATCCTTGCCAATACTGGTTGTTTCTTGTTTTTTGTTTTTTTTTTTTAGTCATTCTGACAAGTATGAGGTAATATCTCATGGTGGTTTTGATTTACATTTCCCTGATGGTTAGTGATATGGAATATCTTTTCATGTGTGTATTGGCCATCTGGATGTCTTCTTTTTGGAATTGTCTGTTCATGTCTTCTGCTCATTTTTAATTGGATTATTTGTTTTGTGTGTGTGCTGAGTTATATAAGTTCTTTATATATTTTGGATACTAGCTCCTTATTGGATATGTCATTTGCAAATATCTTCTCTCATTTACTAGGTTGTCTAAATTTTAGTTTTGTTGATTGTTTCCTTTGCTATGCAGATAAAGCTTTTAATTTTGATGTAGTCTTTATGATTTATTTTTGTTTTTGTTTCCCTTGCCTTAGGAGACATGTAGAAATGCTCTCACTGGTGTCAGAAAAAAAACATCCTGTGTGCTCTTCTAGGATTTTTATAGGCTCGGTTCTAACAAATTTGGTCTCTAATCCATTTTTTAGCTGATCTTTGTGTCTGGTGTAAGAAAGTGGTCCCGTTTCATCCTTTTGCATGTAGCCGTCCAGTTTTCCCAGTGCAGTTTGCTGAAGAGAGTGTTTTTTTCCACTGCATATTCTTGCCTTCTTTGTTGAAGATTGACTATATAAGTGTCGATTTAGTTCTGGGCTCTCTATTCTGTTTCATTGATCTATGTGTCTATTTTTGTGCCAGTGCCATACTGTTTTAATTACTACAGCTTTGTAGTATATATTGAGTCTGGGATTGTGATACTCCATTTTGTTCTTTTTATTTTGAACATATTTTTAAAAGATTTTATTTATTTATTTGAGAGAGAGAGAGAGAGCACAGAGGGAGAGTGAGGCAGTGAAGCAGATTCCCTGCGGAGCAGAGAGTCTGACTTGGGGGAGGGAGGACTCAATCCCAGGACCCTGAGATCATGACCTGAGCTGAAGGCATATAGTTAACTAACTAAGCCACTCAGGCACCCCTTATTTTGAACATATTTAAAAATAATAGCCAATAGTGACAGAGTACATTGGTTAGACAAGACTTCCCAAATACTAGTGATATCTGGGAGAAATTTTTTAATAGAAATGACTATTAGAAAGCACTGAAGAACCAAAGCTGAGAGAAACTAGACAAGAATCTATCCTCGTGAGATTCTCTCTCTGCAGCAGCTATTTTTTTTTTTTTTAAGATTTATTTATTTATTTGAGAGAATGAGAGAGAGCGAGCATGAGCAGGAGAGGAAGGGCAGAGGGAGAGAGAGAAGCAGGCTCCCCACAGAACAGGGAGGCCCACTGCAGGGTTCAATCCCAGGACCCTGGGATCATGACCCAAGCCAAAGGTTGATGCTTAACCAACAGCCCATGCAGCAGTTTTTTGTTTTGAGATAACTTTTCAGTCTGTATGCAGCTTTCTTCCAGGGACAGCAGAAATCCAGTCTCACTGGGTTAAGGAGTCACATGGCAGGGTTTAGGGGAGAAGAAAGATTTAGGAAGGGAAGGAGACCCAGAGACAGTGAATACAAAATCTGTTAAAAAAAAAAAAAAAAAAAAAAGGAAAATCTTGGGCTGACCATTAGATGATCTACTTGTGAAGAGATCCCAGGGCCTTAATGGAAAAACAGTAGCTAGAAACAAAATTAGCAACCTATGTTTCAGCCACTTCCCATCACAGGGAAAGTAAAGCTTGAAGTTTGAGTTCAATAATGTTAACTATTTGCTAAGACAAAAATTACTCTTTAGAGTAACATAACAGAATCCAGAGTCCTCACACTGAATCATTTACAATGTCCCTATGCATTTTTAAAAAGTCACTAGATAAGACAGAAACAGGAAAATGTGACCCATACTCAAGAAAAAAAGTTAGTGAATTCTAATGCTGAGAAGTTGCAATAGTGGACAAGGACTTAAGGGTGCTATTGTAACTTTGTTCAAGGAGTGAAAGAAAACAGTACATGATAAATGAACAGATGGGGGAAACTCAGCAGAGAAATAAGCTGCACAAATAAAACACATGGAAATTCTAAAGCAGAAATGTGTACAATTAAAATAATAAATTCACTCAAAGTTTTTAATACTGGATTGGAACTGGCAGAAAAATGAGTCGATGACTTGAGATAATTCAATAACAATTCCCTCAAAAGATGAGAGAGTAAAAGCTGAAGAAAAACAACAGTCCTAGACTTGTAGGATAATATCAAGTGGTCTAACATACCATTAGAGTCCAAGAAAGAAAAGAGAGAGGATGAAGAAGAAAAAGTCCCTGAAGAAGTAAAAGTCAAACACTTCACAATTTAGTTAAAGATATGAATTTACAGATCCAGGAAGCTGAATAAAGCCTTAGTGGAATAAATATATACTTAGTGGGATAGACAACCATATCTAGGCACATTATTCAAAAACTCATGCAATCCAAAGATAAAAGAATGTTTTAAAAGTTTCCGGAGTAAAACAATACATTTCATTCAGGGAAACAATAATATGAATTACATTTTCCTGTACTAAGAAATAAGAGAAGCTAAAAGACAGTGGAATACAATCTTTAAAGAACTGGTGGAAGAAATAAGCCCATCCACCTGGGAATTCTATCAAATATTTAGTGAAGTAATAATACCAGCTTCATACAAAATCCTTTAGAAAATAAGGGCAAAAAATACTTTTTTATGAGGCCAGCATAATGCTGATACCAAAAATCTGACAAAGGCATCAACAGAAAAGAAAATTAAAGATCAATATATCTCATAAATATTAAACACAAGAATTTTTTTTTTTTTTTAAGAGAAAGGGAGGGAAGGGAGGGCAGAGGGGGAGAGAGAGGATCTTGAGTAGGCGCCATACCTAGCATAGAGCCCAGTGCGGGGCTTGATCTTACACCCTTTAGATCATGCCCTGACTTGAAAAAAAGCATTGGACTCTTAATTGACTGAGCCACCCAGGTGCCCCAAGACACACAAAAAATTTTCTTAAAGATTTTATTTGACAGAGAGAGAGAGAGAGCGTGTGCATGAGTGGGGGAGGGGGTAGAAAGAAAAAGAGAGGGAGAAGCAGACTCCCCAGTGAACGTGGAGCCAAATGAGGGGCTTGATCCCAGGACCCTAGGATCATGACTTGAGCTGAAGGCAGTTGCTTAACTGACTGATCTACCCAGAAATGTGAGATTAAATTTGTGTTTTAAGCCACTAAATTTGTGGTAATCTGTTACAGCAACCTTAGAAACTAACATAGCTGCTATAAAAGACATACATTATAAAGCTACTGTAATAAAGACAGTGTGATACTAATGTAGAGTTAATCATAACAAGTAATGAAACAAAATAGAATCTAGAAATAGAGCCCCACATATACAGTCTATTGATTTTTTTCAGAAAGGTGCCAAAGTGATTTAATGGGAACAGGATAGTATTTTCAGAATGGTGGTAGAACAACTGGATATGCACATTTGAAAAGTGAACCTTTATCTCACATAATACACAATAATTATCTTGAGATGGACTAGAGATATAAATATAAAAGCTAAAACCAAAAAGTGTGTGCAGGAAAACCCAAGATAATATCTTTACATCCTTGGATTTGGCAAAAATTGCTCAGATAGGACACAGAAAGTAATAACCATAAAAGAAAATAATTAACAAATTAGTCTTCATCAAAATTAAGATATTCTGCTTATCAAAAGACATCTTTAATAAAGTGAATTGACAAAGCACAGACTAGAAAATATTCATAAACGTGTTCTGACAAAGGTCTTGCATCAGAATATATAAAAGAATCTCTAGAGGTACCTGGGTGGCTCAGTGGGTTAAAGCCTCTGCCTTCAGCTCCGGTCATGATCCCAGGGTCCTGGGATGGAGCCTGCATTGGGCTCTCTGCTCAGCAGGGAGCCTGCCTCCTCCTCCTCTCTCTCTCTCTGCCTACTTGTGATCTCTATCTGTCAAATAAATAAATAAAATCTTTAAAAGAATCTCTACAACTCCATAATTTAAAAAATGAGCAACCCAATTTATTAAAAAAGGAAAAAACTACTTGAACAGACATTTCACAAATGAAGACACACAACTAACCAATAGCATATGAAAAAGTGCTTAACCTCATGAGTCATCAGGGAAATGGAAATTAAAACCACAATGAGGTACCACCCTATATCCATCAGAATGGCTAAAATTTAAAAGATGGATACAGCTAAATGTTAGCAAGGCTGTGGAGTAACTAAAATTCTCACATGGCTGACCTAGAAGGTTGGATGTATGTGTTGGACTATAAAGTGGTACAACCACTTGCAAAATGGCTTGGCAGGGTCATACAATTAACAATTAACACAGAACTGCACTTTTACTCAGCAGTTCCATTCCTAGGTATTTATTTATTCAATAGAAATGAAAACTTATAT